ATAATCTTACACATTCTGAAAACAAGATTATTATTCTTACACAATCAGTTCTTGTTTAGTAAATCAGTCTCAAAACAAGATCAAAAAGACTTTTTGACTGGATATAAGGTTTTAAAACTTTGTTAGGTGGACAGTTTTTGCAGTGTAACTACTCTCCGCATTCCTCGCTTCAGATGAATTGGTCTTTCTTTGCTTCCAAACACAATTAATTGATTCATGTTGAAGGGTTGTATTATGAAAAAATAACTGAGCTTTATATCATGTTATAATCTATAATCGTTCCCTCATCAGAAACGTAGACATTGTGTTGCTTTGATTCATTCATGTCTGAGGAATCCTCAAATCTCCTGTGGTAGACATGTGGAGCTGCCGAATTGCTTGTTGGTACAAAGCTCTGCCTATTTACACAAAACTTCGCCCTGGAGCTCAGTGTGCAGCTAAGCTCCCGCCATCCAACGAAGCATTTTTAGGAGATGTGCTGAAGTGGGAGTGTCAGAAATGGTAGGAGTTTCTTAAAGAGACAGAGGCCAATTTTAAGGTGTTTGGATAGGCTGTGATGCAAAGTCAGATTTATTTTTGATATAAACGCCTTTTTCATAACAACTGAAGACTACAGTGGTATAGAATTGAACTATATACCTGGAAAACACACAATACCCTCATTTAAGCAGTTAGAATGACAAATAAAAGTTCCTTCCAAAAACAAAGCAGGTATTTCAAACCAACTTTCTGTTAAGGCTAGTAGACCGTGGCTACACGTAAGTTTTTTCATTCTTTTATGTATTCTTAAATTTATGAAACAAAAGTGTCATCAATTTAAAGGAGACATTCTTTCGCAGCTGTTTTCATATTTAGGCTCAGCTGAACCTCACGTACTGATCTTTGCTGCGAGCCCTCTGTGACACTGTCTTTTGGTTCGTTCTGAGTCAGACCGAGGAGTAAAACCGGCATATGGTGGAAGATGTTATTGCCAAGTTGCTGTGGTTTGGCAAACGTCTCCCATCTTGTGCAATCTCCCCCAAACGGTTCGCTTTTAAAAACAGTTTTCACTGCTTCAGATAACTAATACGGTATGTTTGTGTTTCCCTTTAACATTTAGGAGAGTTAAATCACAGGAGTGAATACGCAGAGTGAACAGAACCAAATCAAAGGTTGGGTAAAACAGGTTAGGTTAGGTTGGGTAAAACTAAATTAAAGCCTGCTGCCTTCAATTCCAGACTTTTTAAACTGAAATTGTCATGTTGGGAAGGAGCCGTTTTCAGTTTGGTCAAACATTGATCTGGCCTGATCAGTGTTAAGACTCTCAGATAATACCAGCACATTTTAGCTCARTACCTGTCAAATTGATTGAACTATAAGCAAATATCCATTAGCTGTGGCAACCMCCTTGATTTTTGTTTACTCTAAAATGTTGTTCAGGTATTATACACCCAGTGATTACTTACTGGGAGTTTCTTTTTTAAATCCTTTTGCTGGTTGCTTTAGCTAATGCTGCAGACAAAGGTGATCCGTCAGTATCTGCTCTGTGTGTTTTTTTTTAGGATGGTCGTTCTCCCTCCGGTGTTCTGGTCTGTGCCATGTTCTGCTTCTGCCACCTTTTCAACCACCCAGTTCCTGCCATGCAGCTGCTGAGCGCCAAAAAACCAGGTTCTGGCCTCTGGCCTTCACATCGCAGGTTTGCATCTCTGAGTAGAAAAAAATAAAAGAAAATAATAAAAAGGAAGCAAGTCAACAAGTTAAAAATGAAAGCGACAAACGATCAGCGAATGATCATAATTCGAAAGTGTTCATGTAATCAAACAGTTAAAGTGATTCGGACRGTCTTTTTGTGTGTGCAGGTACATAGGTTATGTGTGCAGCATGGTGTCAGAGAAGCCCACCCTCCCCCACTCGAAGCCCTTGATGATCAAGGCGCTCACAATGAGTCCAGTCCCCTGTTTCAACAAGCAGCGCAGCGGCTGCCGGCCCTTCTGTGACGTCCTCATCGGCGAGACGAAGATCTTCACCACGGCGCAGGAGTACGAAAGGATGCGGTACGAAACAGTGACGAGAAGAACTCTTCTAAAAATATGTTGCTTTTTTTTGAAACACCCGAAAGAAAAGAAACTATCATCATCGTGTTCTCTTTCTTAATGTTCTCTGCTCATGTGTTCCTTTTCCTGCCTCCTGTCCAGAGAGCACAGGATCCAGGAGGGGAAAGTGGTTTTCCCTCTTGGTGTGAGTGTTCAAGGAGACGTTGTGGTTTCAGTCTACCACATGAGGTCAACAATCGGAGGCCGTCTGCAGGCCAAGGTAGGCTCATCAGGAAACACTGAAATCTTACTGAATCTACAACATATTACAAGTTCCCTAATAATAATACTCTTTAATAACC